AGAGAAGGCCAGAGAGCCCAGCTAGAGTGAAGACTTGCTGGGGGCTGGGAGGCCTGCCAGCCTCCCGGCCCCCCAGCGCCCCTGCCTGCTGTGTACCTGGTAAACCCCAATAAAAGACGTGCATAAGCCACTGAGGAGGGCTATGACTCCTCCTTTACCCGGCCTGCATGGGATCAGAAAACCTGCACAGTGGCCTGTTCCTGCCACTACAGACGTGTCACCAAGATCTATGAAAAGGAGTATTTGATTCTGCAATTAAAAGTCTGTCTTGTGACACGATCAGAACAGTTTAGGTACTCTTGCTTACGTTCTGTAATATCTGTTAATTTCTCTTCCAAGACTCTCGTTAACAATCACCAAAATATGAAATTATGACTTTGTATAGGCTTAATGCTTGTTTCTAGGCATATTTGTTCGTCATTAAATATCTACCATCTAACATAGCATGTGGTGTGTGGTATATGGCATGTGCCCAGGAAATATGTGCTGAATGTCACTCTGAGAAATGTGAATCCCTGAAAATTGGGTCATTTGGGGGCCTAACAGCCCAGATTTTCCCCATTAGTGGGTTGAAGAGTTTAGTTCAGCAAAGGAGTCTGTCCCATGCTTGGTTGAAAGTTGCCCTCTTTCCTCAAAGTTCCCTAAATTAGTTGGTTTTTATGTTTTTTCTCTGGACCAGTTGGGCTTTAGGAGGAACTTTACTTCAAATAATTCTGAATTTGGCTGAAAGCTGTGAAAGTTAATAGAATGAGTAACTATTTCTTTGAGCATCCCACCTCATACGTAAGGAGTCATGGTTATATTTACTTATGGCTGAGTGGTAACTAGACTTTGTGGTGTGATTAACTTATGATGTCAGCAGTTTTCAAAATCTGTGTTTAGGTAACCTGAAGACACCAGTGTACCCCTGGTTTTAATGGCTGTTCTGCTAACCTGGCAAGGTTTTGTTTTGGCTTTTTTGGAACCCTATTTGATAACCACAATTTGGTGGTTTTTTTCTTTCTACTTCCAAGAATTTATGTGAGGTGTGTTAAGTGTTGGCCAGATAACTTGTTTGGCTAGTTTACTGTTCTCTGTTCTGGAGTCTGGAACTCATAAACAAGAACTCAAGAGGTGGAGCAGGACAACAAGGGGAGAGTTCATTACCTCTGAGGGAGAAAAGAACAACTGAGTTCAGGGGTCCACATGCTGTTTCTGTAAATAGGATTTGCCATGGCCTCTGTCACATGATTATTTGTTTTCTTAGAACCCTTGAAACATGTAAAAATCACTCCTAAGTCATGAGTTTTATAAAAGCAAGCTATAGCCAGATTTGGCCTATGGGCCATGGTTTACCAACCCCCCTGAACTAGGTGAAGAAATTAATTTATTGCTAAATGTGTTTATCTTAGTGTCTTGGGGACATGAACCCATAATAATCTTGGGAATTTCTCATTTGATTGTGATCCAGAGAAAAGAGAGATAAACTCTGGTAGGGGAGGTCAGGGTGACCCTTGTGTCAGTCATCTTGGGTCCATGGAGCTCAAGGTAACCTTGACCAGTGTGACAGTAGCTGTCCATTAGGACAGAGGGCTCTTACTGCTTCTTTCCCATGGGAATGCTGGCCAAACGGGATGAGGATGCAAGACCGGAATGGAGGTGTGCTCCTAGAATTAGCTTGGCCTTAGACAGGTTGAAGAAATACAGTGAGCTCAAGACAGGGAATTAAGTTGATTGTGTCTCAGAAATATGTTTAATTTCCTGAATCTCTGTTGGGATGTAGTTAGAAATCTGGCATCTACAATCAGTTTGGCCAGTTTATAAAAATAGAAGAACAGGTTTGTACCTTGAATTCTGAGAATAACACCAAATTCTGATGATGCATGAATCCAGATTTGTTATGTTGTTTTTCTCTGGTCACCAGAAGTTCTGTGGAGCAGGCCCAGCATGAAGAAAGTATTCATTTGTTTCACGGTAGTTTGGAAGATAGGAGGGCATAATGATTAAAGAGCTTGGACTCTGAGACAGATGCACTTGTCTAAATTCCTACTCTACCACTTACTAGCTCTCTGATCCTGAGTAATTTACTTAATCCTCTAAACCTGGATTTTTTTTCACCTGTAAATAACTGGTAATGATAACTTCATTGTAGGGTTGTTGTGAGAATTAAGTGAGTAATGCTTATAAATGAGCTCAATGTCTGTCTTGTTAGTATTCCGTAAATGTTAGGAATAATAGTGATAAAATGCAAGTTGAAGTGGTGCTGGATCAGAAACAGGAATTTAGTATTTGTGACTTTGTGCCACTGAAATAGCATGTGCTTTTAATTTTGTCACTAAATGTTGGGATTGCAATTCAAGCAGTATTGGGTTAGGAATCAGAAGAACTGGATTTGTTTATACCTCACTTATTTCCTAATTGATAAATGGAAAAACATGTCAACAGGTTGCAGGATAACATGTGAGAGGGCTTGAGTTTTATAGTGTTAGACAAAATATAAGGTGAAGTCATTTGTTCATTGTAGTGGCAGGATAGGACACGGAGCAGGATATCTATGACCCAAGCAGACAGACAGGTGAGGGAGGAGTCCTAGAGCCCTCAGTGACTTTTCAGGCTTTTATTAGGATTTACCAGGTACACGGCAGGCAGGGGCGCTGGGGGGCTGGGAGGCTGGCAGCAAATCTTCACTCTGGGCTCGCCAGCGTTTTCTCACCTTCTCTCTGCTTCCCTACTCTACTCTCTGCTTCTACTCATGGTTCTGCTTCGTTCTTGGCTTCTGCAGGCATCCCCGTGATACCACCCGTATAAGCCCAGTCTTAGCCTAGGTGTACCCACTTACACATGCCAATCCAGGTACTCGCCATCAGGCATGCATTCAGAACCACAAGGTTCTGTCATCAATCCTAATGGCAGGAGGGCAGAAAAGCCTGATACCTTTTACCTTACCCTATATTCATCATCTTGATGTTCTAACTATATTGAACAGGGCCAGACAGTAATTGATGTGAAGCCAAAGTACTTGTGAAAGAGACGCGATAGGATGCCCCCAAGTTTGTAACTTGTGCCTAGGTGTAATACAAAATTGGAATACTTTTGTAAGATATTGGAAGTAGTGCAGTTTTGTTTTTTTTTTTATAGAGGCATGTTTTTATTTATTTATTTGTTTGTTTGTTTGTTTATACAAGCACTGGGTACAGTCAGAAGTGCGGGAGGGTGAGAGAATTCACCAGAGCCAGAGCAGGGAGCAGAGCAGGCAGAAGGACCGAAGTACTCTGCTGAGGGGAGCAGCGGGCGGCAGGAGAGGTCTGCGCGCCATGTGGGACCCTCCTCCGGTGGCCGGGGAGCAGCCGGGGATCGAACCGGCGCTGCGGAGGCCGCGGGCAGCTTCGCAACCCAGCGCTCAACCGCTGCGCCACCGGGGAGGCCCGGAAGTAGTGCAGTTTTAAAAATGAGTAGCCTTATTAAATGAAAGAAGTCAGTCTGAGAGGGCTCATACTGTATGATTTTTACTATATGACATTCTGGACAAGGCACAGTAAAAATATCAGTCATTATCAAGGGTTGGGACAGAGAGGAATGAATCATTGGAGCAGAGAGAATTTTTAGGTCAGTAAAAATACTTTGTATCGTACTATAGCGGTTGATATGTCATTATACACTTGTCAAAACCCATGGAATGTACACCACCAAGAGAGAACACTAATGTGAACTGTGGACTTTGGGTGGTTATGATGTGTTAATGTAGATAGGTCTGTCAGTTGCAAAAAATGTACTACTCAGGTGGGGGATGGTAATAATGAGAGAAGCTGTACATATGTGGGGACAGGAGGGTGTAAGGGGAATCTCTATAGCTTACTCTTAATTTTTCCATGCACCCAAAACTGCTCTGAAAAGTCTTTAAAAAAAAATGAGTGTGGGCTTCCCCGGTGGCGCAGCGGTTGAGCGCTGGGTTGCGAAGCTGCCCACAGCCTCTGCAGTGCCGGTTCGATCCCCGGACTGCTCCCCGGCCACCGGAGGAGAAGGAGGATCTCACATGGCGTGCAGACCTCTCCTGTCGCCCGCTGCTCCCCTCAGCAGTGTACTTCGGTCCTTCTGCCTGCTCTGCTCCCCGTTCTGGCTCTGGTGAACTCTCTCACTCTCCCGCGCTTCTGACTGTACCCAGTGCTTATATAAATAAATAAAAACAAATCTTTAAAAAATAAATAAATAAATGAATAAATAAATAAAAATAAAAAGAGTAGTAGTTGACATTTAAAAAAAAAATGGTCAGTGTGGGGAGAGACTAGAGGAGATTAGATTAATCTCTATGTAGAAAATGTGACAATACCTTGTAAAATTAAAACTTCATTTCCTTTTCCCCTGCAATTCATTACAGTACTTATAACAAAGTGGAAACCATGTCCAGATTCAGGAGATGAGTTAACTAAATCATACATTCTCCAGTTAAAACCTATGCCCCTCTAAAGAGTGAGGGAGCTCTGTATGCTGATGGATCATGCTTACAAGAGAAGTTAAACTAAAAAACAGAAGGAGCAAGGTGCAGAACAGTGTGTATAGTATGCGGTCATTATTGTTGCCAGGTTAGGGAGCAGGTAGAAAAGATCAGTTGTGATTTCCTTGTATAAGCGCAACCTTATCTCTGAAAGAATAAAAAGTTGGTGTCGTGTTGGTTGCATCCGCGGAAGAAAACTGTGGGTAGCTAGGGGCAGATAAGAGGAAATTTACTTTTCACAGTATAACCTCTTTTATTAAAACGTATATTCATGTTTTTTTATCCAGGAAGTTTGAGTAGGCACAGATCATATCACTGGAGTTAAAAACTATATGAAACATCTGTGTGTTTTCCTCTCATGTCCATGAGAGGAAACCTGTTGCTCTGCCCGGTCTCTTCGACCTTGAATGACTTGAGACGCTGGCACTGACTAGATTTACCCTAAAACAGTACCCTACTCCCACCCCCAAAGCATATTGATGTTTCTCTTGATTTGTGTGACTGACGGTGTTTCTGTTTCCACTCCTAGCTTTGGCAGCATGTAAGCAACTTCTTGCCAAGAACCCAGGTCACCGCTGAGAAGGGGGCCTGAGGGAGAAGAATATCCAGAGGAAACCAATGCCAGACGCGTCTGGAATTACACTCACCACAGGCAGCATGAGACATTTTGTGCCAGCATCTGTGTCCTACTGGCAAAGACCGTCGCTCTCCAGGTAGGAGGGTCCTGGAAGCAGCACGCACCAGGAGCCTCTCCAGAGGAGGAATGGGGCCAGATGTGAACTCTCTACAATGAACACAATTTTCAGCTTATGAAGGAATTTTAAGAAAGCAATTATTTAATTTCCATATATTCAAGTTCAGTAGCCTTCTGTGTGAAGTCCCAGCAGTCAACCCCTCCACGGGAGATAGCAGGATTTTTCTGGCACCGGGTTGAACTCTTCTTGGTACTGCTGGCAATGACAGATCTTCAGGACAGATTTATCTGCTAAATGCTCTTGAGCAGGAAAAAAGTAAGACTTCTGGAAGCAGCTTAAGGATAGCAGAGCAGAGATCCCTCCCTCCTTGCTCACTTTCTCAGAAACTCAGCCTGGACTCGGATGCTTGTGCTGAAGATTGATCCTGCCTCATTCACCTCCAAAGTCTGTTTCTTCCAGGGAGATTTGGCATTTGGGGGCTGCCTCCTCTGCCCTTTTTTAACTTCTTCTCCCAAGCTTCACCTTCAGCAGTCAAATGATGTGAACTTTGGAATGGAGTTTGTTGTCCTTTGGGGACTTGCTTCTGTTGCTAGGCTAGTGCTGTCTGAGAGGACATTCTGAAGGCTGTCGTCTGTTCTTGGGGAGGAGGGCATCGGCCTTGCCTGGATCCTCCACCATGTTCCTGTTGCTGCCTTTTGACAGCTTGATTGTCAACCTTCTGGGCATCTCCCTGACTGTCCTCTTTACCCTCCTTCTCGTTTTCATCATAGTCCCGGCCATTTTTGGAGTCTCCTTTGGTATCCGAAGGCTCTACATGAAGACATTGTTAAAAATCTTTGCGGTGAGTTGTGTTGTCTCATGGTTATTGTTTCAATGGTTATTTTACAGAGAAGGGGGAGAGTGCTGTTAGCTAAGAGTTGTTCCTATCAGGTGGATTGTTATCTCTTTATTAGTTATGGAGAAAGTTGAGAGTATGAGAGGTGGCATTTTGAGTCAAAAGAAAAGTTAAATGTGTACTTGTAGCATTTAAGCCTTAAGCAGTCTTCCTTGTAAGCTAAGGTACCTTGTACATTTGATTCATCTTAGCAAAGGAACCTGTTCGATGAGTCCACACTTTTCCTGTTCATTACAAAGAAAGTGGGGCTTAGAATTAAAGGGGGGGAAATCACTGTCCTATTACATCTTGTTATATAACTCGAAACACTAGCTGCTGCTGGCGTATTCCCTCACTGATAACTGTGATTTACTCTTCACTCAAACATTTATCTTAAATAGCATCTTTTTTTTTTTTTTTCTTTTATAGAGGCATGTTTTTATTTATTTATTTATTTGTTTGTTCGTTTGTTTTGTTTGTACATGCACTGGGTACAGTCAGAAGCGCGGGAGGGTGAGAGAATTCACCAGAGCCAGAGCGGGGAGCAGAGCAGGCAGAAGGACCGAAGTACACTGCTGAGGGGAGCAGCGGGCGGCAGGAGAGGTCTGCGCGCCATGTGGGACCCTCCTCCGGTGGCCGGGGAGCAGCCGGGAATCGAACCGGCGCCGCAGAGGCAGCGGGCAGCCTCGCAACCCAGCGCTCAACCGCTGCGCCACCGGGGAGGCCCTTAAATAGCATCTTAAATAGATCTTAAATTTATCTTGCATAAAAGGATTACAGGTTTGCTCCTACTGTGTGAAAGTAGAACATTCTAATTTGGTATTTTTGGTGTCTGGCAACACTCAAAAATTATTTTGAAACAAATAATATTTCATATAAATTAATGGCAAAATGTTCCTAAACCTCAAAAATAACCTACCAAATTGCGTCAAATAGGAACTCTACTTTTGGATAGCAGGGGAAACCTGTAAGGGAAAAGGTATTTGATGAATTGGTTTCTTTACTTAAAGATAGGGGAGAAGGATAATAAATTTCTTTACATATGTCAGAACTTAACTAATTGTACTGCTGAACTGGTCACAGTGTAAAGGAAATGGCTGAGAAGAGGTAGTTCCTGGAAGTTGATCTGTGCCACAAGACAATATCTAGCGAAGGATTTGGTAGTTTCTTAGCAATCTCTGTTTTCCACTGTCACCAAATCTTTAGTATTCATTTCCACAACTGTGTAATTTGGAAAATGCACTCATAATGGTAGAAATTATACAGCATTCTTTTTTCATGTAGTATTGGGTTGTTACAAAAGTCATGACATTTTCTTTTTATGTTTTTCAAGCTAAAATGTGTCATGACTTTGCCGACAACCCAATATCTTACTGTTTTCGTATACTATTATTCATCTTTGGTTCCTTGTAATTCTGCAGTATTTTCATTTATCAGTGAAGAAACAGAGACTTAGAAGGATTCACTGGCCTACATGAAATGTTACATTATATGGGAAATATTTTTTATGTTTATTGTTGATTCTTGGCTTTCATCTTTTCATATTCCTCTAGGATTATGATTTTTTTTCACATTTAAAAAATTGAGGTGAAATTGACATAAAATTAACCATTTTAAAGAGAACAATCAAGTGACATTTACTTTATTCACAGAGACGTTTAATTCTACACTACCACCTCTTATCTAGTTACACAACACCCTCAGCGCTCCAAAAGGAAACCCCGTACTCACTAAGCAGTTCCGTTCTCCATTCTCCCTCGTTTCCCCTCTCTTGGCTACCACAAGTCTGTGTTCTATCTCTGGATTTACCTATTCTGGATATTTCCTATAAATGAAGCATGTAAAATGTGCTTTTTTTTTTTTTTTTTTTTTTATTGGCTCCTCTCACTTTGTGTAATGTTTGAGATTCGTCTAAGTTGTAATCGTGTTTCGGTACTTTTTTTATGCATGTCTGTACTATAATTCACTTATCAGTCCATCCATTGATGATATTAGCGGACTGTTTCCACCTGCTGGCTCTTGTCAATGATATTCTTATTTGACCATTATTGATACGATATTTGAACACTACATATGATATTTGTGGTTTTCTAGTACCTTGCTACTCAGAAAGTGGCCTGAAGAGCAGCAGCATGTGTTTCAGATAAAAGCTAGTTAGAAATGGTGTTTTCAGGCCCCCTTCAGACCTACTGAATTACAGTCTGCATTTCAACAACGTCCAGGTGATTCACATGATATTAAAGCTTGAGAAGTAGTAATCTAGTCAGTCTTTAGCTTCTATACTAATAAGTTGTATTTAATTAACCAGCTGATGTAAATTTGCTTAGATTGCAGTCAAAGAAAATCTTCAAAAGAGCTCAGGGTTCCTGTGGACTATGTGACTTACTACTCATGCCCTTTTGCTGCTGCTATGAAAAACATACACCAGTATAGAATGAGAATAGCTGATAAACTTTTGGGGAAAGGGGAAGACAACAGTGAGTGATATCTGTCTTTCATTCAAGTTTATAAGCAAGTGCTTGACTCATAGACCTATGGAAAATTCTTAATTTGAAAACAAAAAGGAGTTATCAACCTAGTAGCTAATATTTGTGTGGGACAAAGGGCCAGGGTCCATCATGTATATTCCCTATTCCATTTTGAAAATGTCCCCCAAATTAATATTTTCATGCTCATGGTCAAGTAGGTCCTTTCCATTGTGACTGTATTTGATTGTGACTGTGTATTCTTGTGACCTTGGATGTAGTTTATAATTAAACAATGGAAATTCATTAAGCACATATTGTTGGGCCAGTTCATGGAATAATTTTGAGCCATGAGAGACTCTATGCTGACCACCTCTTGAAAGTTACTGGTTTGGGGCACAATATTTTAGAAGTCATAATGGAAATAATGTGTGCGTATGTATTTATGCACCCACCTGTGTTTATATACCTATTTGTATGGAGTACCCGTCTGTAACCTCAAGATGTAGAATTTTGGGAATTAGATTTTTACCCATCAGTCACTCATATGAGATCTGGGTTCCCTGTGGTTTTTGTCCTGTTGAGTTTTATGGGTAATTACAGCTTGGCAAAGTTAGAATAAGGGGTAGACTAAAAAGGACTGATATGTACCTGCAGTGGCCTACGGTGGTTCTTGGAAGATTGTTCAGTCTTACCCTCTGAAAAGATTTACTACTCTGAGTTGATCTTAATGGACAGTAAGAATTGAGTGAATGCTGTTTTTATCAGAAGTATTTGATACAAATTGGATTTGGTTGGTTGATTTTGAATCTCAAAGTATACACCTGTGTATCCATGTGTACATCTAAAATACACCTATATTTGTGGGTATTTTTAATAGAGGTGAGATCTTTGTTTTGGCTCTTTTAGCCTGTTTACCCCTTCCTAAATTGAGATTGATGTACGTGATTTTAGAGGTGGAGGAAGCTCAAAGATAATTCCATAGATCTTCCCTCTAACTGCATGTTTGAATGGCCTGGAGAAGAATTTTAGCTGTGTGTGTTTGGGATCACTAGAATCTCCCAACATTTGATTTAATTAGCCTGAGTGGGCATTTTTTAACATCTCCCAAGTGAATCTGCCATCAAAAGGTGGAATCTGACCTACTTGTGAAAGGGGACCTCCTTTACCGACTTAACATGGTGGACATGATGTTGTGCGACATGTGAGATTAGGTTAGAAATGTGGTTTAACTTCTTTTTTTCCGCCATACTCTATTTTCTTACATTGTTACTCATTTTTGTACAATATTTGTTTTCTCCCCTCAGGTGTAGCTCCCATAAATCTCCCACCACCACATCACCCATGAACCGTCACTGTAGTCCCTTGTGCTCTTCCCTCCTGTTTTGACTCTTCCTAACTGCCCCCCCCCCGCCTTGCTGTATGCCTCAGATCTACAGTTTGCCTACAAGTTTTGTAATTTTTTTGACATTTTGTTCGCGTTCCCCATGTTCCTCCTATAAGTGAAACCATCTGATATTTTTCTTTTTCCTTCTGACTTATTTTACTGAGCATGATCCCTTCTAGGTCCGCCCATGTTGCTGTGAATGTCATGAGTTTATCTTTTTTGATTGCTGAGTAGTGTGTGTGTGTGTGTGTGTTTGATTGCTGAGTAGTGGGGGGGTGGGTGTGGGGGGGTGTTTGATTGCTGAGTAGTGGGGGAGGTGTGTGTGTGTGATTGCTGAGTAGTGGGATGTGTGTGTGTGTGTGTGTACACACACACACACTTCTGACTCTCCGGATGCTGGCTTCTGGAACCCAGCCACCATGCTCTGAGGAAGACCAGCCCACATGTAGGTGTTCTAGCTCTCAACCTTAGGCAGGCTCTGATAACTAGCATCAGCTGCCCACACAGGCGTGACCAAGCCTTCAAAGGGCTTCAGTACCTTGCCTTCCAGTCACCCAGTTGATGCAAAGCCCTTATGTAACTTGCAGATCCTTGAGCAAAGTAAGTGGTTTTGGGGTTGTGAGTGTCTAAATATTAAAGAATTTTAAACATTCACTTATGTTCCATAGCTTATAAAACCTTAACTTTTTCGTGTGTATTTTTTACTCTTTTCAGTGTACATTCATATTTTATGATTGGGTAAATGGTATGTGTAATTTTGCATCTGTTTTCTTTTGGGATTTTGTCAACCATTTTTTTATTTTACTAGATAATCTTCATGATGGTTGTTAACACGATCTAATCGTACATTTACCTATGCTTTTGGAGGATCTGAGTAAGCTCTGGCTTAACAGCTTGTCTTCCATGATTAGTTCATTCTGCTGTCTGAAGGAGCCAGAAGAAAATATTTGTATACCTACCACTGGAGTACTATAGAGAGAATGTGGGTGGTTCAGTGTCTTCTGTTCCTTCTTCTGGAAGACTGAAATTCATGCAGGTCCTGTTAATGCTGGCTGAGTCACTGAAGATCTTCGTGTGCAGAGGGCAGTCTTAAAAGTGTTTTCCTTAATATCTGTGCTTCATATTTACCCTCACTGTTGTGAGGGATAAAATTGTATTGTTTGGGATAAAATTCCTAGGAGTGGGCTTTCAACTGAGGTGAGAATGGGGGAAAGGAGAGAAGAAAGCCTGGATACAAAGGAGAAAGATGAAAACAAATGACTTGCATGTTCTAGCCTGATGTGGAGGGAATTATTTGGGTCAGGATAGAGAAGATGAGGCAGTTGTTTAATTGGATTGGCGTTAAACTCCAAAGCAGAATTGGCAAGAGAAGAGTCATAGCAGTGGCGGTTATGCGCTAGTGCAAGGAACTCTACAGGCAGCAGAATTGTTGTGCAGTGGCATGAGTTTTTGAGTTAGATGGCCTTAGCTTGAATCCCAGAGCTTTTCTTACCAGCCCTGAAACTTGACCTAAGTTATCAGACTTTCTGGTCTGATATGCCTCGTCATCTAGGGAGTTGGGTTAGGGATACCTGCTTCGTATGGTTGTAGTGAAATAGGTAATGTTAGTCATGCATGTCTTCCGTGTCCCAGTGAGAAGAGTGATTTTAACATAACCTTGAGTAGCTCAAAGGACACACTGATGGAGGTGAGAATGTCATCGTGGTGGACAAGGTTTTAGATTTGACCATTTCAGGTCTCCTTGTCCTATGTAGACCTTGATGAGGAGAAATACCAGGAGTTGATGAATTAAATGCAGCCTATATTGATTCCTCCGTACAAGGGACTTTAGCAGACTGTGCTGGAATGTGACTATGGGTAGGTCCTAGCTCCTGCCCTCAAGGTGTTTATAGTGTAGTGAGAAGGAGAAATGTATGCATACATAACTAATTCAGAACTTGAGGCCATTAAAAAGCACAGGCAGTTGATTAACTGTGACTACAGGAATTGGTTAGCATTTTAGCATTTGAACTGAATCTTAAAAAGGAAAAATAGCATTTTAGAAGTGCAGTGGGTAAAGATGAGAAAGTACAGTCTTTAGACAGTACATAGCTCATTCAAGCAAAAACACTGGGTACAGGGGGGAATACAGTAAGTGTTTCTTTAGGCATTGAGGAGCCTGTGAAGATTTTTGAGCAAGAAAAAGACATGATCCGACTGGCAGCATGCATCTGGATGCATTGGAGGGGGAACAGAGCAATTACATAGCTGTTACACTGTATGCAGGAGCATAAGCCAGTGAATGGAGGTCATGAAAGACAGCTGTGAGGGAATGCCGTTTCAAGGGAGGATTGCTAGACCTTGGTGACAGATGGGAAGCCTGGAAGCTTCGGTGACCAGAAAGATAGTAAGCCCCGGCCCCCCCAGGAGGGGCAGTAGAAGGAGTGGAGCTTGTCTGGCCACAGGAGGTGTGACACCTTCAGTTCTCAGCATGCTGCATGGTGAGGGAGGGTTGGAGTTGGAGAGGACAGGCAGGTGATTGCACTGTGTGGTTAGCAGTTTTGTCAAGTCAAGATAGAGATTGTGGACTTGACAGCTACTTGAGATTACAGCTGAAGCAGAGAGAAAGTTGCTAGGAGAGGGAAATTGTGTAGGAAATAGGTGATGGACTATGGGAGCCTGGTTTATAGGAAGAGTCTTGAGTCCTCATTGTATCTAGTTAGTTCATGGGAAAATGCGTTGATGTTGACTGAAGCAGAGGGTTTCTACTGAGATTAGTGTTAGGACTGGAATACCTTGCTCATGTTGGTTAGTACCCAAATTGTTGTGTTAAATAGAATGAATAACTAGCAAAAATGCACCATCAAATCATCTGCATTTCTAAGGACTGGGCCTGAATTTCACCTGCCAAGTTTGTGTGTATTGTTAACCTAAGAATGCAGCATTATTAATGCCCTTAAATGGTCTCTCTTCTTTTTGGGGAAAGCTGAGACCGGAATAATTAAGTAATCTGATACTGTAAGTAGCTTAGTAAATGGCAGATCAAGAGGGAGAGGAGGTTAATAAGGAAATGAACTCTGAACCTAAGATTCTCAGTATTATTCCAGATATCTGGACACTATATTCTTAAAGTTACAGCTCCAAGAAGCTAGTTGTGCAGTTGTCCGACTCTGCCTAAGGTGCAGCACCCTTTCATTTATCTCTGCACCAAGGTGAAGCCATACAGTTCATCAGTCCCGCTGTGCCCAGCTACCAGACAGCTCCCTCTGACCCTGCCCCTCTTCCCCATATCCCGTGACATTGGACGGTTCTCTCCGAAACATAGACGCATTTTGTGATGTACCTCAAGTTTGAAAAAGTAAAACTGGAAGTAAAAAGCAGGAGAGTGGGTGGATGTTTATGACAGAGCTTTGTGACAGAGCCTAGGAGACTTACTTGCCTCCAGTACTTTTCCCATTAAAACAGAAACTACAGCCAGAGTGCATTTTGCATATTGAAGCACTGATGGAAACCAGGGACTTGTCATAGGTTACTTGCCTGTTGCAGACTAATCTGAGTGTCAGACCTGCCAGTATAAAATTGAGTTTTTCTGATTCTGTGTTTGTCATGCCAGTAGAGAGCTTTGGCAAAAATATAAAATACTAAATTCTGGTAGAGTGACCTGTGTCCTTATGCCAGGCCTATTGTAAACTCTCTAGTCCCTTATTCACCTCGTCCCTGGATGAAATTTCCAGATAGAATTCACCTTTCCCCATCTAATTTACATTTTCTTCTAGATGAGATCATTCATGCATAGAGGCAGTGGCTAAATATCTGAAATATAGAAAAGGGACATAATCCATGTCCATTTTCTTAGCCTTTTTTTGAGTGGGTGACTTTCTGTAAATTGCTTTTTCTAGGTGGTGGTGTTTGAAGAAACTTCCAGATGAAGTCAGGTCACTGATTAAACTTGTGACCTGCTTTTGGCTCTGCTAGACCATACAGGAGCAGTTTTGCTAATACTTCAGGTTCCGCCAGCAGAATCAACACCAAATAATGGGGCTGTGTTTTTGCTGTGTCATGGAGTGACAGGGCACTTTCCCACCTTGCGTAACTTTGGAAACTGTTTGAAAAGACACCTTTTAAAAATACCTGTTTTATTATTTGATAGTGGGAGATAACCAACCTCTTCTCTCATTATAGTTACAAGGATTTTCATGGAGAGGAGGCTTGAGGAAAATCCCATTTTCTAGAGCTAGTGTCCATTATTATTTCCGTAATAATGAGGACAGTTAGGGTGTTTCACACTTTCCCAAGTTCTGTCATATACATGATCTCATATGATACTAAGTGACCCCATGAAGTAGGTGTAGGAAGTTGATGTAGTTAGAAAATCTGACATTAAAGCATTGGGGTGAGCTGCTTAAGGGACATAGCCTAAGTGTTAAACGTGGGATTTGAAACTAGATTTTTTTACATCTCCAAATAGAGTTGTATTTTTTTTTAAATAACACTAAGCCACCATTAGGTCTTTCTATATTGTTTTGGGGTTCTCCTATTAAAAGGTTACTCAGAGGATGAATTGACACTTCAGACATATGTATTATTTAGATCCTTTACTTGAAAACTAAAATTGTTGCTTTTTTGGAATAATTTGGGAAATAGCCAGTGTTTGGTGGTAGCTTAAAAGATGCTTGATTCTGTTGTTTGTGAATAGCTGCCATTTGGAGAAGGACTGTGTGAGTGCTAGTAACTCAGAGACAGAGATTTAAGCAATGGGAAGCTAAGAGAAACTTCCACAGCCTTCCTGAGATCTCAGGTCTTTACTGCAGGTGACTTAACTTTTGGTTCTAGTTATCTAGCCCTGGCGAGGGGGTGGAAGATGCTCTAACAAGAGAGGGGCTTGAGTTTCCTTTTAGACTGTATGCTTTCTGACCACACTCCAGTTCAGGTATTGCGATCTCAACCTCAGTCTGGAATTGAGGCTTTCACAGAATGAAAATAGAGGTATTCAGTGAATGATAAACAACCTCATTTTTGTTTGTTGCCATTTTCCCCGCCGCAGTGGGCTACCTTGAGAATGGAAAGAGGAGCCAAGGAGAAGAACCATCAGCTGTACAAGCCCTATACCAATGGTAAGTGGGTCTTCAGCCTTACCCTGAAAGAGCTCTTTGAAATTTGTTTCTGAGTGCTTTCACTTCCTCTCATACCCTTCGTAATATAAAAAGTAGGATATGTACCCTGAATGTTTTCAGCGTGCTTTCCCCTAGCATGCTGCTTGACAGAGATGTTCTCTTTTGCAGGAATCATTGCAAAAGATCCCACTTCACTGGAAGAAGAGATCAAAGAAATTCGACGAAGTGGTAGTAGTAAGGCTCTGGATAATACTCCAGAGTTTGAGCTCTCTGACATTTTCTACTTTTGCCGGAAAGGAATGGAGACCATTATGGATGATGAGGTGACAAAGAGGTTCTCGGCAGAGGAGTTGGAGTCCTGGAACCTGCTGAGCAGAACCAATTATAACTTCCAGTATATCAGCCTTCGGCTCACCATCTTGTGGGGATTAGGAGTGCTGATTCGCTATTGTTTCCTTCTGCCACTCAGGTGAGGACAGGGCCATGGGGCCAGAAATCAGAGTGTGATGCATGATCTACCTACATGTAGATAGATTGTTTTTCTAGTTAGAAAGAAAGACAGTAGGATTCTTTCCCTGGCCAGTTCATCTGACTCTTGGAAGGGAACACTAATGATTATCCTTTAAAGGCACTTGGATTCCCTGCATATCAGACAGAAATAGTTGGGGTTTCTTGAAGACAAATTGCCAGTCTAGGTGGACTCTACCCAGGGACAGGGAACATGTTGTACTCTCTGGCCACTCCTCCCTGGGCATGACAGCTGCTTCCCTACAGCCTCCCTCTCTAGTACAGAGACAATATTGATCTCTCAGTGTTTCTGTATCATGTGCTATTCTGAGTATGTCTTGCTGGTACCTTCAGGCTCTACTTCCTGTTGCCTCACAGAAAAACTGTATTTCTGCCAGGGTTTAAAGCCAAAGGGAAGGGTAAGACAGCAGGACAGCAGGTGCCGGAGAGCAGCACAGCCAACTTGAGGATTTTCCATCATTCTGGCTGCCTGATGCCTGAGGAGTGGTATCAGCTGAGAGCCAAATCCATCCTACACCATTGTTAGGGATCTAACAATGATCTCTGGTTCTGATGTGTCTGCTTGCATTTCTAGATGGAACTCTTGTCCAGTTCCTAGGTGATCAGATCTTGGGGATAGTTTTTGTGATGACTACTTCTCATTTTCAAAGGTCCAGTTCTGTATTTGGTGCAAGGATTTGTTTGCCTTGGTTTAACTTGTCTTCTTCTTACAGGATAGCTCTTGCTTTCACTGGAATTAGCCTTTTGGTGGTGGGCACAACCGTGGTGGGATACTTGCCAAATGGGAGGTGAGTCCAGCACAGGTGTCCATATGTGAAAAGTACTTGATTCTGGGAAGGTGGCTCTGATATTGAAGACCAGGCCTTGGGTGTAGCCAGATGGACAGAATCTTGGTTGGATTCTGGTAGCAATGGCATTAGCATTAAAGTCTTTTTTTCCTATTTTACTGTTAGTATTCCACGCTCACTCCCTACCCTCCAACCCTCACACTCCATATTTTAAAGGCAAAGGGAGAAACCATAAAACCAGAGGGTTAAGGGTTAGCAGATTTTACAGCATGATTAGTTCTGAGCATTTCCTGTGTTGGTAAATGGAAAGAGGATAAAAAATGTGAGCAAAGGGATTTTGGTCTGTGTTTTTAAATAGAAATTTGTTGCTTCTGAAAGTCTCTGGGACTAGCAAACCTCTCTTTTGCTGAGACAGATGAGGAGTTTGACTCTGGCCTTTGCTCAGCCCCTAGGAAAGGAGGCGTACCTGTGCTGGAAATTCTTGGGCTGTGAATTCTAAACCCTTTTTTTAAAAGATTTATTTATTCAATCACTGGGTACAGTCAGAAGTGCGGGATGGTGAGAGAATTTCACCAGGGGAGCAGCGGGAGGCAGGAGAGGTCTGCGCGCCATGTGGGACCCTCCTCTGGTGGCTGGGGAGCAGCCGGGGATCAAACCAGCACTGCAGAGGCCTCGGGCAGCTTTGCAACCCAGCGCTCAACCGCTGCGCCACCGGGGAGGCCCTGAATTCCGAACCCTTTAAGGGGGATGAGTTTAATCAATTCTCATTATTTCTTTTTTTTTTTATGCAACATAAGGATGCTAACAGAGGGTTTTGCCCTATACAGTAATATTTATAAAAATACTTTGCAGTCCTAAAGGACTATGGCAGTGGTAGCTAAGTGTTAGGAGACAGCAATTTTCCTTGTGTTCCTACATATAAAATAAAGCCAAAAATTTTTCTCCAATTGTTGCAGGTTTAAGGAGTTCCTGAGTAAACACGTTCACTTGATGTGTTACCGGATCTGTGTGCGAGCCTTGACAGCCATCATCACCTACCATGACAGGTAAGGCGTTATCAAGGGAAGGCTTGGTAACCTGTGCTAGGAGCTTTCATTTAGAACTGATGAAGCTGGTGAGCTGAGGACTGAATTCCAAATGAATTGTTTTACACCCATCTTTGTTTCTTTGCATACATTCTAAACACAGGGAAAACAGGCCTAGAAACGGTGGCATCTGTGTGGCCAATCATACCTCTCCTATTGACGTCATCATTTTGGCCAGTGATGGCTATTATGCAATGGTAAGACTTCTTTCTGTTGTTTTCTTGGGGCAGTATTTCTTTAGACTGGTTGTAGCTGGGAGACTCTTGGATCCTTCACAGAACTTTTTCTTAAGTGTATAAACAGACACCCACCTAAAGTGTAGCCTATGTTTCTGTTGCTTCTGGAAACTCTGTAGGACTTTGGTGTGAGGTATTCTGGACAGCGTTAACTGAGTGTGGTTGGAAATTAGACTTTGGGTATTCAGAGGTACCACAGAAACGTGGAGGGGGCCTCCCTGGTGGCACAGTGGATTGAGCACAGCGCTGTGAAGCTATCTGCAGCCTCTGCAGTGCGGGTTCTATTCCCGGCCGGCCAAAGAGATATCCACATGGCATGGCAGACCTCTCCTGTCACTCTCGCTGCTCCGTCTGCCTGTTCTGCTCCCTGCTCTGACTCTGGTGAATTCTCTCTCCAACTCCTCTGGTCTGTACCCCAGCTCTTGTATAAATAAATAAATCTTAAAAAAAAAAAAAAAGGTGGAGGAAAAATGGGGAGGGAGGTGGGCCTCTCTGGTGGTGCAAAGGGTTAATTAAGTCTCAGCACTATGAAGCTATCTGCAGGCACTGCAGCACAAGTTTGATCCCCAGCCAGGGAGCTAACCCACATGGCGCAGCAGACTTCTCCTGTCTTGCCCACTGCTCCCCTCACCAGTGTAGTTCAGTCAGTATGCCTGTTCTGCTCCCCACTCTGTCTCTAGTGAATCCTCTCACCACCCATCCCCCCTCCCTGCACCTCTGGCCTACACCCCAGCTCTTGTATACATAATAAATAAATCTTTAAAAAAAAAAATAGAGAGGGAGGATTTGAAAGTACCCGGTTCAAGGGCGCTGAGTCTGCCCAGGGAGGGCATTTTTACACAGGCTGTTGCTTAGATTAATTACTTTGCTTAGGGTTTTCGACTGTGTTTTTAATTACACATCTCTGGTATCTCTGTTTAAAAGGAAAAGTAAGATTTAGGTTGTCTATTAGTGGCTTCTTAATAGTGAGAGGGCTATTATTATCAGTAAAATATTAGAAGGTAGGAGATTGTAGAAGCTGACGCTAGCTGCAGTTTGGGGTTTGTGCAAGGATGTCTTCACTACCAGTTATTCTTTTGTCTGAGATAGGTAGGTCAAGTGCACGGAGGACTCATGGGTGTGATTCAGAGAGCCATGGTGAAGGCCTGCCCGCATGTCTGGTTTGAGCGGTCTGAAGTGAAGGATCGCCACCTGGTGGCTAAAAGGTAAATCAACAATATACTGTTCTGTTTGTGCACTAACAGAAAGTACGGTTTTTAGTAGTAGTCCCTCCACAGTATACTACTTTCATAATAAAACTTTTTTCTATAAAACATGGTATGTAAGAAGTATGTAAACTCTAGTATTCCTTACCAAGTTAATAATGATTCTTAACCTTTCTTATTCCTATACGCCTTGTAATAAAAAACATATGCACTTTAAATGCTATTTGAAATCTCAAAATGAATTCATTATCACAAATAAAGTACTGCTTGGTTTTCAAGCTTGAAAAATATATTTGGTGCAAGTGATGGCAAAAACTTTACCATGTACTGGGAAAATAAAGACTTCGCTAAGACCATCTTCCACAGGGACAATGAACCTACTACTAAGTTCCACTTTATCTCTCAGAGATAAAGTGTTAAGCCAAGTGGACTGTAGGTCCAGCCCAGCATGACTGTAATGAGCATTTCTTGAGGGTGCTGTTTACAAGGACCTCCCTTTTAGATAGGCCCAAATCTGAATAGTATCCTCTGGGCACAGACTTTAATACTTAATTGAAGAATTGTATGAATTTTGTAGTAGTTTCATTTTCTCTCTCCTTATATGCCTTATCTTCATGACATTTAGGTTGTGAGTTTATAAAAGTTAAAGTCATATTTGTTAACTTGCTTTTATAGAATGTCATTTATAGACATTATCTATAAATTCCTTTTGACATGAACATATGTGATCATTTTTTTTTTTCTCTTCTAAAGATTAACTGAACACGTGCAGGATAAAAGCAAACTGCCGATCCTCATCTTCCCGGAAGGTGAGAAGAGCCGATCACCATGGAGAGCTGCTGTGTAGGGAGACCGTACGATGTGACTTTGGTGTTGGCTTGGAACCAAGTCCATCAGCTCCTATTGGGATTACCAGTTTTCACGGAATAACATTAGATCTCCTTCATGATGGTTGAAGGACTAAAATTTATAGAATCCCTTCTATAACAGTAACAGTGGGGGCCTTATAACTTTTTGTAGAGTTCTCACTGAGATCTGCCACGTCATCTTGGTGTCTCTGACTTTTCATCTGGGCTAGTGTGTGTTGGCCAAGGAAAGTGGTCCTGTAACAAAAGAATAGGTAGCAGTACAATATTTTGTACATCTCTTTTAAGTGTTCATTTACAAGCTAGGAAGATGAGACATTTGTCCTGCTTGCAGAGCCATTAGAATTTTATATTTATTTATATTTAGTCTTTAAATTCCTAATCTCCTGAGTAAAGAATTAAAAGAAATAGCATTTTGTTCTCTCCATTTTAGGAACCTGCATCAATAATACATCAGTGATGATGTTCAAAAAGGGAAGTTTTGAAATCGGAGCCACAGTTTACCCTGTTGCTATCAAGGTAAAAGGCCTCTGTGGGTGCATGTTGTCACTATCACAGCTACTGTGAGTGTCACTATCACAGCAAGAGATGGTGGAGGAAGGAGCCATGTCAGCAGTTTTTATGACTGCTGTTGATCCTCTCCAGGAGGGCAGCGTGGGGCAAGGCTAGTGTGGGCAGAGTGCTAGAGAGAGAACTTGTCATGACCCAAATTGACGGACAGTAGCCCATACCTAGTCAACACCACCACATCCAGGAAATGCCAAAACCTCTTCTCTTCCTCTTCTGTCTATACATCAAGGTAGAACGTGGTACACTCCACATTAAAGGGTAGCTTACTTCAGCGAGTGGGGGATAAGGCTGCCAAGTCTGGTGGCAAGGTGAAAGTGGAGGGGTACAGATGGATCCTTATTATAAAGGGAGGAAACAAGGCTGCTGCTTGGGGTTGGTATTTTCATACGTACCAAGAACAGCTTGCCACAGTGAATGGGCCAGAAGACCCTTTCTAGTCTGACACACCTGTAACATTGGAGCTACGTAGAGAACTGAGGATCAGTTAGCCAGTCAGTTTCCCTCTTTTCTTCTTCCTGTCCCCCACCCCCGCGTCCATCTGGTTTTGTGAATAGATGTATATTATTCTAAAACAATGTTATTACATTATTCTAAAAAAACAGGCAATTGTCAACACGTCTAAAGTATTTAGGTCAGAATGTCAGGTCAGGGTAAGTAAATGAGTAAATATGAATTGGAGTTGTGCTTGGAATTTGGTTAAGCAAATTCTTTCCAGCCACTCCCCTTACAAGGCAGGGGGATGGCACATGAGTAGTGGCTGCAGAGTAACTGACCTATGCATGGGTCAGGGCTGCAGAGCATTTTGTTGAGGGTTTGTGTTCTGGTTTAGCAAGAAAGAAAAGAGGGTCTTCGCAGTGACCGCCATGGATATAGGACTGGGGTGTGGCATTTGCAATCCATGCCATTCTGCACTTTAATACTTGGTGGTGTGGTGCTTCATCATATGTTTTTATTTAAAACAAACTGCTAGACAGAGTCCCTGCTGCTCACTCCAGAGCACTGTTCTTAAATCTTAGCTTTCTCAGTAACCCTGAAGGGATTGTGAAAATGCAGATGCCCAGAGATCTCAAACTTGCATTTATGTCCCTGTCCTGCATGTTCCTGCAGCTGCGTAGAACAACACTTGGGACAATTATGTCCCCTTCCTAAAGAAAAAGACCTGCATTTGACATGTAATTTGATTTATTTATAGAAGTAGTAAAGCCCACATAAATAAGTGCTTTTTGCACAGAAACTTGTAGTTTTTGTGAAGTTTTTATTGGTAACCAAACTTGGATAATACTATCAATTGCAGGGCTCTTACTACATTTTCACCAAAGTCAAGGCATCTGGTTTTGAGGAACTTATTTTGCTATTTTGAGCTTTTCTTTTTTTTTTTTTAAGATTTATTTATTTATACAAGAACTGGGGTACAGGCCAGAAGCGTGGGAGGGTGAGAGAATTCACCAGAAACAAAGTGGGGAGCAGAACAGGCAGACAGACCGAAAACACTGCTGAGGGGAGCTGGGGGGGAGACAGGAGAGGTCTGCCGCACCATGTGGGAATCTCCCTGGCTGACAGGAAAACAAACCTGCGCTGCAGAGGCTGCGGACAGCTTCACAATGCTGCGCTCAACCCGCTGCACTACTGGGGAGGCCACTATCTTGAGCTTTTCCCTTATTTTTCCCTTCATAGTGTCTTTCCAGCATAGAATAAAAACTGAACCCTAAACAGAGGGCTCACACATAATTCCAAAATTACTATCACATTGTGCTTTATAAAATGCAAGACTTTCTTCTTCATATACATTCGTTTCTGTTTAAAACTCATTCTTTTCCCTTATTTTCTTCTGGTATTGTAGTGTGGTCTCCTTAGGCCATCTTTAGTTAAATCTAGATAGCTTCTACAGTTAGTGTTGTCATCTCTGTAGTTAGGTCCACGTCAAGGCATGATCATCCAGTTTTTGTTCTGAGAATTGCAATTTTTGCCCTTGAAAGACCAAAAAGATTGTGTAGTTTAAATTCAGCCCCATCCCTCTCAAGTGCTTGAGTCCCCTTGGTAGCATCCTTGCTAATGTTCCTCATGTTGGAAAATATTATATTTGGGGGAGGTTCATGTAGAAGAATGACCTGGTGTTATTTAACTTTATAAAAGGGGAGAAGTTAGTAATTGTTGAATCTGGGGAGTGGATATATGGGAACACATTAATCTTTTTCTCTATTTTTGACTATGCTTCAAAAAGTGAATAATAGGTTATGGGTATAATCTATGAGTAAGAAAGATGTGAAACTAATCAAGGAGAAAGGACTTTTGAGGAAGATGGTTAGGGGCGTCCTTCTTAATGATCTGTAGCAAAATCTTGGGTCAGTCAGGGGAGGTTAATGTTGCTAAAGGTCAGAACTGCGGGGGCATGGAGTGACTTCCACAGTGTTCCTGTCGGTTCTGGGAGCAGCTTTCTAACGCTGCTACTGCCCTCGGTGGCACCATCAGATTAGTCGCTGTGGACACCTACCACTAGTAGAACTGCTGACTGCTCACCATCGTCTTTGCATTGGTTTTCAGTATGACCCTCAATTTGGTGATGCCTTCTGGAACAGCAGCAAATATGGGATGGTGACGTACCTTCTGAGAATGATGACCAGCTGGGCCATTGTCTGCAGCGTTTGGTACCTGCCTCCCATGACCAGAGAGGTAGGTACTTACACTATGCAGGATCTTCCCATGCAGAGGTCTGACTGAGCTTGGGTTGAGTGGTCTTACTTGTTTTTTCTTACAGGCAGATGAAGATGCTGTCCAGTTTGCAAATAGGGTGAAATCTGCCATTGCCAGGCAGGGAGGACTCGTGGACCTGCTGTGGTGAGTCAGAGTCAGCTTTATCAACTGAGTCTAAGAGTATGAATTTCTGAAGCAGATGCTAAATCATTGACTAATGAACAGAATTCTCTTCTCCTTGGTATGGAGAATTAAACCTGCTGGCCCTGGAGACTGAGCTATTTGAGTCCTTTCTCCTTATTCCAGCTCAGAAGTGATCTATGCTGGCTTTCTCCTGGGGAGCTTGTAGCTGGAATGCTTCAACTGAAGCAGTTACTTCTGTGTGCCTTTCTGGGGTATCCTTCACCTACCAGGGCTTCCACACAGTCCTTATCCATTTAAGTAGGGTGACCTGATGCTGGTCTAGAAACTTCATGGGAGTGTTCAGGGCCCTCAGATCTTAGTGTATTTGGCAAAACTGGACCATTCATAGAAAGGTAAAAATTTTGTGTATTACACATAGCTTTGTTACCTACTATTTGAGTTGGCAACCTTTTCTGTAAAGAATCAGTAAATATTTTAGATTTTGTAGGGCATATGGCCACTGTTCACTCTGCTTTTGGAATGGGAAAACAACTGAAGACAAATATGTACCAATAAAACCACAGAAACACATCAAGCTGGATTTGGCCTTGGATTGTAGTTTTTGACTCGGGGATAGTTAAGTGTCAAAGAATAGGAGATTGATGGGGTAAGTGCTGGTTTGGGAATGCTATTTCACCTCTTTCTGGATCCTTAGGCTTTAAGTTCTGGAGGGCATTTGACTAAAGTGGGGATTATGGGAAAAGAAAGTATAGAAATTCAAATTTTAAACTGATCTGTGGTTTCTTAGTAATAGTAGACTGGCCCTAAAAAATACTAACATTTATTGAGTTCTTAGTGCCAGACACTATGCTTCTGATATGATAATCCCATTTTATCCTCATTTCATTCATGAAGCATAAACATTATTAGTTCCAATTTACAGATAAAAACTGAAACTCAAAGATTTCAAAAGTAAGAATAAGCATTGGGGCTAGATTTTTATTTATTTTTTCCAGATAGCTATCAACAAAGTTTTGGAGATTTTAATGTAAATATTATCACTAACAAATTAAAACATTGGAAAAAAACAAACAATAGATTTGCAGTTCTGGAGTAAATGAGGCATTGGTTAATTGACTAGCACAGTTCCTGGCACAAGGTTTTGTCCCCCTCCACCATCATCTCTTATATCCCTTTGACCCTTCTTCATCCCCTTCCCTCTTAACTTTAGAAACCTCACTTCATATGCTAATGTCTACTAGTTTTTGTAAGTGTTTTACTTTGTCAAATTATCTGTTATGTAAATGTCAGTATTTGTCATTCTGATTTGCTTCACTACGCATAATTCCCTCGAGCTCCTTTTGTTTTTGCTGTAAATGACAGTATTTCATCTTTCCTTATGGCTGAATAATTGTGTTTCATAGTGTGAATGTGTATTACATTTTGTTGATCCAGTCTTCTACCAGTGGGCACTTAGATTGTTTCCATGTCCTAGCTCTTGTAAGTAGTGCTGCAGTATAAACATTGTAGATCATATAATTTTTTGGGTTGATGGTTTCATGTTCTTTGGATAGATGCCCAAGAGTGATATTGCTGAATCATATGGTATTTCCATTTTTAGTTTTTTTAAGGTGAATCCGGATTATTTTCCTTAATGGCTACACCAGTTTACATTCCCACCAACGATGTAATAAAATTCCACTTTTTTGTATCCTCTCCAGTACTTACAGTTGGGGGTCTTTTTAATATGTGCCATTCTTACAGGTGTGATTTTAACCTGCATCTCTTATTGGGACAATGATGAACATTTTTCCATATATCTGTTGGACTTCTGGATATTTCTTTGATGAGTTGCTATACAGATCTGCTGCCATTTATTAATTAGGATTTTTTTTTCTGTTGTTAAAGTGTATAAGCTTTTTTATATATCTGGGATATTAACCACTCATCAGTTATGTATTGTGTAAATATTTTCTCCCATTCAGTAGGGTATGTTTTTAACCTACTTACATTTTCCTTTGCTATGTAAAGCTTTTTAGTTCGAGGTAATACCAGTTGTTTATTTTTGCTTTTATTTCCCTTGCCATAGGAGTTGAGTCTCCAGAAACATATTTATCTTTGATGTCTGGAACATATCACTAGTACTTTCTAATACTTATTTTATTGTGCAGATCTTATAATTTAGATCTTTAATCCATATGGAGTTTGTGTGTGTGTGCAGTAGAGTTAGAGAGTGACCCAACTTCATTCTTTCACATGTGGCCTTCCAGCTTTCTTCGCACCATTTATTAAACAGTGCTAATACTCCCCATTGTATGGTTGGTTACTTTTTGATAAATTAAGTATTGATATGATATGGATTTATTTCTGGGCTTTTGATTCTGTTCCATTGATGCATGTGTCTATTTTTATGCCAATACCATATTGTTTTTAGTACTATTACTTTATAATGTTATTTACAGTCAGCTAACATGATGCCTCCACTTCCTTTTTTCACAGGATTATTTTTACTGTTTGAAGTGTTTTTATAGTCCCATATAAATTTCAGTATTTTTGTTCAGATTTTTAAAAGAAAATTATAGGTATTTTGATGGGAACTGTGTTAAATTTATATTATCATCTTAGGTAAGATAGTCTTTTTTGATTATATAGATTCTCCTCATCTATGAGCATGGTTGTCTTTCCATCTCTTATGTCACTCAGTCTTAAAGTTCTCATTGTGTAGGTCCTTCCCTTTTTGGTTAATTCCGATGTCCTTTGGTTCTCTTTGAAGTGATTGTGGAGGGAACTGTTTTTCTTAATTTCCTTTTCTTGTTGTTTATATATAAAAATACTATGGATTTTTGTGGGTCGATTTTGTAACCTGTCACTTTGCTGTATTCATCTATTGTTTGTAATAGCTTTTTTGGTTTAGTCTTTAGGGTTAGCTAAATATAATACATTGTCTGCAGCTACTGATGGTTTCACCACTTCTTTTCTGATTTTGATTCCCCTTTATTTCCTGTTGTCAGATTGCTTAGCCAAAACCTCTAATATGAAATTGAATAGGAATGGTGATAGTGGTCATCCTTATCTTGATCCTGATTTTAAAGTTGAAGCTTTTAGTTTTTCACCATAAAATATTATATTGTCTGTTGGTTTGTACTATATGGCCTTTATTGTATTGAGTTAGGTTCCTTCTAGTCCCATCTTGTTTACTTTCATCATAAATGAGTGTTGAATCTTATCAGATGCTTTCTCTGCATCTATTTGTATTATATGATGTTTATGTGTATTTTTGTTGTGTCACACTGATTATGCATATTAATGTATATTAATACATGCATATGAATGTATATTAATGTATCACACTGATTATGCATATTAAACCATCCTTGCATCCCTAGGATAAATTCAGCTTGACATGATCTACAATCCTTGTGTGATATATTGTAGAATTTGTTGTAGAATTTAATTTACTAGTATTTTGTTGGCGATTTTTGCATTACTGTTCATCAGGGATATTGGTCTATAATTTTCTGTGCTGTCTGTATCTGATTTTGGTATTAAGGTAGTGTTGGCATCATAAAATATATCAGGAAGCATTCACTCTTTTTGGATATTTAGAATAATTTGAATGGCATGGACATATATTCTTCTTTAAGGGTTTGATATAATTCATTTTTAAGGCCTTTTGGCCTTGAGCTTTTGTTGAGAAAGATTTGTTATTGCTCTTTCAATATCCATGCTTGTGATCAGCTTATTCAACTCTTCTGTTTCTTCCTTGTTTCGTCTTAGGAAACTATATTGACCTAGAAATTTTTTCTTTGAGGTTATCAAATTTATTGACATTTAATTGTTCATAGTAATCTCTGATGTTCCTTTGTATTCCTGTATCTGTGGTAATGTCTCTTCTTTCATTTGTGAGTCTGTTTATTAATGTTTTCTATCTTTTTAAATTTTTGTTAACCTAGCTAGAGTTTTATCTATTTTGTTACTCTTCTTGAAGAATCACCTCTTAGTTTCATTATCTTTGATAGTCCTTTTGATCTCTGTTTTGTTTATTTCTGCTCTTATTTTTATTATTTTCTTTCATCTACTAACTTTGGGCCTTGTTTGTTCCTTGGAATCAAATTTTGATTTTCAAGAGTTTGAATGTTTAACTACTCCTCTGTGTTCCCTGTCACTGGGACCAAACAAAGACAAGTGTGGCTGTTTTTGAAAATGGATGTCTTTTCTGTGCATTTTAAAGGGTGTAGCAGATAGAAGGTCTCGCAGTATAAGGTCTGTCCAGTGACCATAGCTTCATCCACCACTACCACCTTCATCACTGAAGAAATATAGCAGAAGTCACAGTGTGGGCTTGGATTTCCATTAGTCACTGAAGGTGATAAAGAAACAAATCCAAATTTGTTTGGGGATGTTGGAGGGAAGTGGTTAGGCCAGTACTCTGAAATTCACTTGAATTTCCTTACGATACCACCCCTTGGGCATGAAAGAAGTAAGAACTTGTATTTCCTTTTGTATCTGTTGTTCGCATAAATTTGGAGAATCTCTGGGTCAGAATTTTATAGATAAATTTTACAGATGTCTACATTGTAAGTCTCAGTATTTCCTAAAGCTTGGCTAACCTTCCATTATGCCAGAAAATCTCCATTATTTTTTTAAGGTGAGGATGAATTAGAGTGGAAAGAACTTGTAACTCTTTAGTGTGGGGTTCAGCAATTACGTAGTATCCTGAATAGGAATAGTGAGTTCTGACCGCCAGGCAGAGTGAGGTTTAGATAGTCGGGTGGATTCCAGAAGCCTGGAGCAGCCAAGAGAGCATGGACTGCTTTTTTTTAGCAGGTTTTCCTTGGTTTTTGAGCAGCAGGGTACACCTGCCTATGAGACAAAGACAGATGGGACCTATTTGCTATTACAGCCAGCCTTTCTCTTATCAGGGACGGTGGTCTGAAGAGGGAAAAGGTGAAGGACACCTTCAAAGAGGAGCAGCAGAAGCTGTACAGCAAGATGATCGTTGGGAACCATGAGGACAGGAGCCGGTCTTGAAGCCTGCGCCTCGTGCTGGCTGGAGTCTGCACGCCCGAACCCTGAGCGGAGAGCCCGTTGGAGTTGTCACCACAGTCACTGCTGCCACCCCCACTGCTGCATCCTTTCCAGACTCCAGGCTCTTCGGGCTGCTCTGGATCCAGGACTCCAGCTTCTTCAGAGCCACCCAGGGCCCCTGGGCTTGCTGTCTGAAGAGAGCAGTGCTGGGTGTCGCTGCCCAGGATGAGCTGCCTTCTTGTTTCTTTCACAATAAGTCCGTTGGAGGAATGCCATTAAAGCCAACTCCACCTGTGTGGGCTGAGTGGTTGGGACAAATCGGTCTCGTTTCCACGTTTGGGTTGTTAGAAGGTTAGTCTGTTATGGATGCCCATGGGCCAGGGACTTGCCTGGGCCAGGGTCAACCCCCTCGAGAGGAGAAGAACTGCCGAGGCAAGGTGGTTTGCTGCTTTAGCCCGAACGTCACCCCTAACCGTGGAGCCCTGCAGAGGTGGTAGAAAGAAAACTGTCATCTTCAGGGGCTTCAGCAAGATGAAGTTTCCAATTTTTGTGCTGCTGCCCTCAGGCAGTGCCCAAGGGGATCGAACAGGCGAAGTGGACCTGCAACTCATGTGGTAGAAACCCAGAGTTGTTCTGCGTTGATTCCAGTGCTATTCCTGAACTGCCATGTGACTTGCTCTTTGTTAACACGTGCCTCATTTTCCCCATCTGTAACCTGGATCAGGAGGGGGAAGGATGGTGAAACCTACCTCACAGGGTTGTTGTGGGGATTAAGTGCTACCATGAGTGAAGGATAAGTAAAGCTCAGTGTTACAAGTACAGGGTTATAAAATGTGGCAGGATAAGGTCTGAGGTCAGCACTGCTGCACAGGGCTTTGGATTTGTTTTTGTGAGTAAATAAAATTGTCTTTGATGGTGAATGAATTTAGGGATTTTTCCCTTCATTCTTTCTCCCCTAGATGTAGCTCTAAGCAAGATGTTTCTTAGCTAAGTTATAATTCCCCACCTTGAACATAATCCTGGGCCTGTAGGGCATCTACTTGACTTCTGAAAGAAGGTATAGTATTGTTCAGAAGCAGGTAAATGACTCGTTCCCATTGTTTGCATATCCCTCTGCTTGATTCAGAATCTCCAGTACAGACTGGATGTGGGATTTCTCTATGATGGGTGACATGGCTGTGAGAGGTGTTGGGTGGGGAACTATCTTTTTGAGGTGGGAGAAGATGATCTTCCAGACGTAAGGACTGTGGGTAGCAACAAGGAATCTGGGAGTGAGGCAAGAGTAGACTCACAGCATTCGTGAGGGTGCGTGATGGGCTTGTGGATATTTGGTACACTGTGGGCATCTGCTTTGGGCTTCCACAGAACCAGAGGGAACTGCAGGCCTTGTGGGCCTTCTCTGCCCACCTACAGTCACCTTGGAGGCAAGTCAACCTCCAGAATTCTTGTTTCTGGATCTCTCAACAGAATTGCCTCACTCTACCAATTCCCCATCCATCTGTCCCCCTACCTTTCCTCTTCCTCCCACATAGCTGTCATAACACCTGTCAGTATTTTATAGCAGCTGTGGTAAGTGACACCTCTCCAAGGTCTCGCCTGCATCATGGGGAGGTGGTGGGAGTGAAGGCCTGCCCCTGCACTCCTTCACTTGTGGCACTTTGTCTTACCTAACCCTTAGCCTAACTCACCCCTTCTGCCCTCCTGTTCCATCCCCTCCTTAAAGAGCCCTCCACTTCCTCTTTTCTGCCATTGTTAACCAGTGAAAAATTATTTTTTTCTCCTAAAACCACTATTATGACTTGAAAGGACAACCTTCTATAAACTGTTATACAAAATATTTAAACAGTGACTTTCAACCTTTAAAGGAGGTGATATATTAAAAGTGTTTAAAGGACATCTGGAATGATCTTTAAAAACTGATCTTGAAGATCAAGTTCCCCTTTTGCCTCCTTTTAAAAAACTTTGTTGTTTATTTCATGATTTTCAAGGTATTTTTAAATACTTTCTTTTGGTTTCTCACATTCTTTTCGACAGGCCTGTCTGCTGCTGATGACAGCAGAGTATTTCAAGAACCTGTTTTAGAATCACTGCTGTGTACAGAAGTGCTTGTGGAAATTAAATAATCTTCCCCTACTATAAAGTGAGGCAAAGGGATGTGAATTACACCCCCAAAAAAGAAGTCTCAAGTTTTTTATTCAGTGCCTGATAGAAGAATGTAGACTTCATGAAACTGATTCATCCTTTTTATTGGGGACCCTATAGGCCTTAAGCTACCTGTCAGAATATTTGGGTTAGGATAATTGAGTTGGGATAAATTGAGTTGTTCTTGTATGGTCAAATGACCCAGCACTAGGGATCAGGACAAATGTGTAAAGCAATGGAAAGTACAAGATAGCACCTACTCCTGTAGTCCCAACAGTGATGGGGAACAAAGCCAAGTGGCGTTATTCAGTGGGATGAGCACTGGCCAGCTCCCAATCCCACCTCCAAATAGCTACTCATTTGCTGTTGGACTTTATTTTTCTGTGTCTTTTTCCTGATCCATAACTAGGGACTTGGGCTCAGTGACCTCTAAAGCCCTTTTTGAAGTTTCTTAATTGTAAAACCCATTATTCAGTCTTTGGCTTCAAAGAGGAGAAGCCAGTTTGAATCTATTTCCTTCCTCCAAAACACTGGACCTAAAGAGACTGAGCTTTAGAGGGTGTCACCCATGTCAAGGGAGAGTCCCCAGTGTTTTCAGATGAGTATGGGGGACCAGTGGGCTTGATGGTGGCTCTTGGAAAGACTTTTTCACTCAAGCATGAGTATTCCACCCCACCCCAGCTCCCTAACTAGTTAAGAGTTGGAACTTTCTTAAAAAGGCTAATAAAATTCCCCTGAAAAAGGAAGCTGAGTAGATGACTGCCAACCAGGCCAGAGCACAGCAAGATAAGCTCTGTAGAGCAGTCTCAGATGACATCCTTGTGACATAGTAAACCAACTTCGGAACTTGATTCTTCACTGTGTCAGATGCAACTTCCTTGATGTGAGGTGGCTGGAATGCTGCAGAGCCTTGAATGCACAGACCAGACCAGTGAGGAGAGTCCTGGGCACCACCCTGCCTCAGCCCTGCACAGCAGACCCCTAGTGGTGATGGGCTCTGACCCTGTTGTCCAGTAGGCGTCCTCTGGGTCTAGAAATCCTGCCATTTCTTCCTGGAATTGCCTGAACACTCAATGATCTGTGGGCTAGTGCTTCCCGCAGTGGCTTGATGCATGAGTGTTTCACTGTGTTGGAGGTCTCCTCCACCTGCTGTGCGTCTTGGGTGGCCAGACTCGATTTCTCCAGTCGCGCCCGCCCTGTGTGTCCTGGGACATCCGGGCTGGAAGGGCAGCTGCACGCACACTGACTCTTGGACAGGTTAAGAGACGACCATCCAGCCATCCATCTTCCATTGCACCAACACCCCCACTCCCCCCAGTCAATATGTCTCTCTCCGATGGGAAAGTTAATAAATTTTGCTCTAGATTAAAAGTATTGATCATTTCATTTGTAAACGATAAATAAAAAGGGGGAACTTTTCATTGCACCAGGGGTAGCGTCTGGTGTATTTTGCTGGGGAAATTGTGCTGGCTGTCGGGGGGGTGGGCTTCTCATATGCATTCCGGCCGGCCAGCTGCATTGATTTCCTATTAGTCTCCCAGCACCACCCAGTAACACATCATTTCAGTACCTGCTATTAATGGTCTTTTGATAAATAATCACTTGTAAGTCAATAAATTTTTATTAAACAGTGTGGCTCTTTGATTTATTAAAATCCGACCGTGTTTGTCTGGGAGAAAAGGGATGCTGAATTGAAGTGGAGGTTTTCATACATCTTCCTGACGCTGAGCAGTCACTGCACACTCCAGAGAAAAACAATTGCATTTTAACAGAAACAAAACAGCCGAGTTTGGAACTTGGGCCCAGGGAAACTTTATCTCCGTCAGTCTGAGGCTTACTCTACAGGGAGCAACCGCAGGCCTGAGGGCGCCGTGTCAAGAACTTTGTATTTGCTGCCGAGAGTGAGTGGTGAGGTACCCGGGCCGGCCCCCTGGGTAGGGCATTGTGGGTAGCTCGGGTCCTTGCCTCTGCTGCAGACTGGCCCACCGCTCAGCCCTCCACTTGCTGGGAGGCGCACCCCGGAGCAGACACCCTTGGCAAACAGACGTTTGGGAGCCATGAGAAAGTGGGACTAGAGGACCTTTAGGTCACATCTGGTGGCAGAAAATGGCAAGAGATGGTGTAGATGTGGAGATTTGACGATTATTTTACAAACTGGGCCTGTAGCTGAGGATTGGACATTTTTGTGAAATTGTCACTGGCATAAAATTTGCTATAAAGGGACCCTTTTCATGGAGACTAATACGGCCCCAAACAGATGTATATAGAATGGCCCAAGCACTAATTATGGAACCAGAATTCCCAGCCCGGAGGAAAGTTACGGGAGAGAGGAAAAGTCCAGCTTGCCAAATGTTTTTATTCAAACTAATGATTGGAGCTCCTTGACAATGCCCTTGTCCTGGTGCTGCTGCTGACTCATATTTAGTGTGACAGGTTAACAGGGGCTCAAGGGAGTGGGGGCTGCTGAGAAGTTCAGCAGAGGGCTTTAATATTTTAAAACATTTTATGTCATGAAATATTTAAATCACATTTTACAGTGTTTTCAAGTGTTACTGTTTAAACTTGCTGCAGTTTTCTTTGTTGTTGCTTGAAGTTCCTTTTCTCCTGTGTTTGGGGATGAAAGCTTTTGCCCTAGGGACCTTGAAGGTGAACAGATTGCTGGAGAACAGGAAACAAGCATGTGATGTCCCGCTGAGCAGGTGAGTATGAACGGGTTGTCAAGAGCATGGCCTTTCTGCTCCCATGTGCAGGAGGTTGGTCAAGGTTCCTGGCTTCTCTTCCAGGAAGCTAAGGATTGTGTGGAAGGCCTGAACCTCCCTTCCCCTGCCCCACCCCTTCTCTCCCCTACCCCAACCGTTGTGGTTGTGTAGTGCTGTACTCAGGCAGAGCCACAGGACAGTACAGTTTTCTAGAATGTGATAACATTAAGATTATCTGTATTTTCCATGTACAAAATTCGAGCCCCTTTTCAAGTAAAATAGGTTGGTGCAATGTTTCAGAAACCTCACTTCACATCATTCCACTCGGTTAGGACTTCAGGGCAGTGGGGAGGGGTGCCTGGCAGCTGGAGAAGAATCATCTTGGGGTTTCTTGCATGCTGTGAGTTTACTTCTGGTGATTTTGAGTGAAAATACATGAAACTGGTGAAGGAGTGTTGCTGGGCAGCTGCCATTTTAGCTGCTGGGAGTGGGCAAGGAGAGTGAGGTTGGCACAGAGGAGCTACAGGGACATTTGGGCTGTCACCCAGCAGGTACCTGCACTGCCTGTAGGAATAGCCAGGCTACTAAGGAGCCAGGTAGCAGGTGGCCGTTGGGAGGCTCTGTCTCTTTTGGGAGTAAATGTAGAGACCTGAAGGTCCCAGAAGGGATGATCTGGTAGCCCTAGAGAACCGTGACAGTCCACTTCCTTCTCTTGACCCGAAGACTCCCAAAATGCGCTTTGATTGTATTGGAAGCCTCCACATACTAAGGATGCAACTCTGGCTGGATACGAGGTCAGGAGAAGGTTAGCCGGCGCCTTCCCATGTGACCCATCCTGGGTTCCAAGCCCAGCTCCTAGGGCCCCTTGCTCCCTCCTGCCCTCTTTTCCATGTAGACAGACTGTTCCTTCCTGGCCGGGCATCAGGGGGAGGTGGCCAGCTTTGGGGGGGGTCCCTGGTCCCTGCTGCTGCTGCTGCAATGGGCCAGGGAAGGGCTCTTGCACTCAGATTGATCCACCAGCTGTGATTTGTCATCTCTCCGAGGCAGGCGCTGTTTTCTCTTGCTTCAGGAGGCCCCTTCGACACCTGCTTTATTTTTCTTCCTGCGCTGACGTGACGGGAGACAGGTGTTAAACTACTTAATCACTTTAAAATTGTTTTAATTTTCTGTTTTTTATTGATCTCTCCAGCACCAATTAATCAGCTCACTGGACCAGGCAGTTAGTACATTAAAAATTGTCAGGGAGGCCGTGCATCTTGCAAAATGTCTAAAAAATATTCAGCTAGCAAATTTCGTTTTTCTTTGGCATGCAACAGTCCTTGGCCCACAGAACTTCCACTCAAAAAGAGCCTCTGCCTCTGGGACTTGCAAGCGGGAGCACCTAGAAGACAGCAGAGGCTTTGGCCAGAGGGGCTCCCTGAGGTCAGAGTGGGAGCAGGTGCCCTTCTCTTCACGGATTAGTCACCCTTCCTCATGCTTTGTTCTCTGCTTCCTGCACACCGGATCTCTTTCCCCAAAAGCATTGGGAATATCTGTGGAAAGACGAGCTTGTTCCAGATCATGTGTCCTGACCCCCACAAGGACAGGACTTCACAGTCTGTAACTGTCCTCTCCACCAGGCACCAAGCCCACAGCCAGATCTCCTCTCCCTGGGATGTTGGCACTTCTGACTTGTCCTTCTGATGATGCCAAAGACACCTCCCCCGGGGCAGGGGGCTGGCTGAACTCTGTAAACTCTGCTGGCAGAGTTTAAACTCTGTGACTGTGTGTCACACTGCCTCATCCCTGGAACAGCAGTGATGAGACTGAAACCCTTCCATGGAATGTTCTAGACAACCCCTCCCCCACATTTACCAGGTCCTGTGGCTGCAAACCCTTGCCATTTGTCTTTTATCACCCCTTGTGAAAATTAGCTATTAACTGGCTATTCCATCTGAACTAAATAAAGCATGGAAAGAATAACACAGAGCTTCCCATATCATTTCTTGGGGGAAGAAATTTCTGGTTTTCCCATTTTTACCTGTTTTTCTGTTTCAAAGGCAACTCTCTCATTTGTCAGTGGCTAACTAAATATCAAGCAGCCCACCTGCAAGATCTGAGCAACTGTGCCTTCCTGCTGGGTACCGTCTTCCCAAAGCATCTCTGGCTTTGCCCTCCTTCCCTGTCAGAGCTGCTAACTTAAACAAAGGGAGCTGTTTTTATCCCCTTCCCTCTCACTTCCCCCTCTCCACAGCGCCCCCCACCCCAGACTCTGGGCACAATTCTTCGGGATCAGGACTGGCAGCCCTGACCTGCAGGAGGTTGGGATGTGAGCCCCCATTGTGGGGAAGCAGGTGGGGGGACATTCAGCCTGCTTGCTGGCCCCATGGCTTATCTCCTCTCCGCACCCAGCCCCACCCACGCTGTATTAATTGGTATATGATTGGGCCAGGACATATAATCTAGTATTGATTTTCTCTCTGGACGCCACAGCTTTATTTGCTCACATCTGCCTCGTGTTTAATCGGTGCTTTGCTCTGGAAACGAGAGGTCTTATCGGCAAGTTTGGTTTCTTTTCCTGGGCACACAGGCATGCACACACCCTCACACTCTCAAAGTAGCCAGCCCAGCCCAGCCTCTCCCTGACCCTCCCACAGTGAGGCATTCCTAAGGGGCAGGGGGAGTGGATTGACTGGAGGAGCGTTCTCAGCGTTCCTGTGTTTATACCTGCCCTCACATGCTGTGGTCCTCAGGTCAGGAAGGATCACTTCTTGGTGTGAAAGGGCACGTGTGATGATTGCGGGGGAAAACACCATTTATGCACAGACCTGGGTTCAAATCCACATCCTCCCTGTGTATGGCTAACCTATTGAATTTTTCAGCACTGCAGCATCTTTTTTTTTTTTTTTTTTTTTTTTTTGTGGGACCCTCACTGGTGGCCGGGGATCGAACTGGCGCTGCAAAGGCTGCTGGCAGCCTCACAACCCAGCGCTCAAACGCTGCGCCACCAGGGGAGGTCCAGCACTGCAGCATCTTTATCAGAACGGCGGAATGACTTTGTAGGATTTTAGGGACCACATGTGAGTCACCACACAGAGTGCCTGGTACTTAGTAGGTGCTCAGTAAACAGCAGCTCCTTGATTAGTAACATTTTCCCACCCAGCCTTGCAGCTCCCTGCAGGTGTGCTGGCCGTCAGAGTTCACTGCTATGAGCACCGGAGAGGGGAAGCTGGCCACCTCCGATTATCCGCGGTGTGGGGGTAGCGTGTCCACAGTTCGTCTACAGCCCAGTGAGAATCTCTGAACCAGGCTCAGCTGTGGCCACTGGCCGTGTCCCTTCCACGCCCCCAGAGCTCACTCTCAGCACAGTCTCTGTTGCCACCCGGCTCCTGCACCCCACCCATGGTGGGGGGCACGGAAGGCAGGGTGTTTTTCTTGTTTTTCTCCCCTCTCACTGTGGCCCTGCATCTGGACTGGTCTGCCCTGGCCTTTTTGTAGGAAAGGGAAGATGTTAAGACCAGAGGTAAACACGAGTTTCCTATTGACACAACATTAATTCTCCTGCTTGGACAGGTGAATGTGCTTTCACTCACTTTACCAAGATTAATGGTATTTGTTTGCCTGCTAAGAGAGGCCTAATGAGGGGCTTTTGAATGCATGCCTTCTAGGTTAACTGTAGGGAAGAGGCGGGCAAACTGCTCCACAAGGAGGAGAAAAGCCTCTCCTAGCCCTTCCTGCATTGTTATTCCTCTTAGGGCACAGGGCCTTCCTCTGAGACAGGCAAGCTCAAAGAATTGCTGGCTAAAGGATGTAAGCCGAGGTGTCCTGTGCATGGATTATTACTGACAAGGAGCCCTCCACAGTCTTCTGGGGTCTGGAGTCAGCCACCCTCCCCTGCCTGTACCCCAGGACTCTTCCTACCTGTGCCACCTGGGACCTCCCCCCTACTTTTACTCCAA